AGCTTCGCAACATCACCGAGCTCCGACACAAAGTCCTCGCTGGACCATGACATGTCTCCGAAGCAACAGACTCAGGCCTGGGATCTACACAAGAAGCTTTCAAGCTCAACAAACAGCTTCCCACATGCTCTGTTGAACTGGAAGCATGACAACACAACCGCAGCCATGTTTCATGCATGCTTGCTTCTTGCCTAAAGGACCTACCATGTCACTTTGCAGGAAAGAAACCGAAGCATTTGCTTTTCCTCACATAAGCCAAAGCCTGCATATCTGGACGACTGTACAAAGAACTACACAGAGACGTTCTTAGTCCATCTCATCTAAAGCAACCGCCCTTGCAGCTTGCCTCTGTCGGGCATCACAAGTCTTCTTGTGGCCAGTGCCTTCCTTGCAGCGAGAGCAGCAGTGCACGTGATAACCATTGCACTTTCGGGAGCACGTCTCGCAGGTTTTCCATCGAGGGACATCCTCTGGATTCCTCGCATTGCACCGCTTGGAATGTCGAGCAAGCCCTTCTCGACAATTGCTGCAGCAAAATCGGCCACGGTTGGTGGTGCGACAGCAGCCAAGGCTTTGGCAAGGAAACAGCCCAACATCGGCCATGACTGCTTCTTGCAAGCAGACCGGGCAGCCAACTTCGAGAACAGGAAACTGCTGCACGGAGAAAGACAATCCAAGAGGGCTGCACAACGTACAAGCAACAGGATCCCAATCCAACAGAGTTATTTCTAATATGCAGAATGAGAAGAACATGCAGCAAGAACATGCAAGCCTCCTTGTCGTGTTCCTATGTATGATAGAAGAACAAGTAGAAGTAGAAGACCTGTTTCTCCCATGCAATCCAAGCTCAATCATGCAAGGTCAGGATCAACAAGCAACCTTGCCATGCATGCTCCAAGCAAGGTTATCAAGGCACATGCAAGAGAAACCATGCCCATGCATGCCAGCAAAGAACATGCATGCCAATCGTGCCTTGCATGCATGGCGATTTTGGGTTCAGGGTTAAGGGTTCAGGGATGAGGGCTTGGGCCTTGGGCTTTGGAGTTTTTAGATTACTACTAGTCATAGCTTTGTAGCACCAAAAATCAACATTGCATTGGGGATCCCAGCTCGCTGCTAGGTTTCTCTGGGCTGCAGCCACTGCCCCTAGGTGTGTGGTCCGAGGCAAGGGCTGTTTTGAATCTGTGGGATACTTGAGAGCAACAAGCAAGAGAATTCAGTACACTGAATTCTCTCCTGCCCCGGCACCATGAGAATTTAGTGTACTGAATTCTCTCGGGGCCTGGCCCCGGACAGAATTTAGTGTACTGAATTCTCTCGGGGCCTGGCCCCGGAGAGAATTCAGTACACTAAATTCTCTCGGGCCCGGGCCCCTAGAGAATTCAGTGCACTGAATTCTCTCCCTTCTGTTGGTTTGCTGCTTTGCAACACAAAGCAAGTGTGTCAGCTGTTGCTACCATGCAACCCAAGCCAAATCATGCAAGCTCAAGATCAAGAAACAAGCTTGCCATGCATGCTCCAAGCAAGGTTTCCAAGGCACATGCAAGCCACACCATGTCCACTCATGCAACCAAATGCATGCCGATTGAAGTTTCAGGGTTAAGGGTTCAGGGATTAGGGTTGCTGCCTTGGGCTTTGGAGTTTGCCGTGAATGCAGCTGAGACTCGCCCGAGAGCTGTCCCAGGGGCCCCAGATCAAAAGGCAGTCGCAGCAGTTCTTCACGCCCGGGAAGTAGTCGAAGAAGCAAGCCTCCGGGCCAGGAAACATGCTTCCGAAAGGTGTCACTGGCCCTGGCTTGCCCTGCCTCCCGAAGACGAGCCCACTCGTCCGGGTCGAACATCACATCCGGCATTCCTGGCCAGACACAAGTATAAAAGCACGTGTGTATATGTGGAGGTACATATGTACAGATCCATGCCCATGTGTAAAGCACTTCCAAGCGAGGCCCGCCTTCGGTGCCAGGAGCACCCCTCACCAGGGGACCCACGTTGTCGCCGAACGAAGCAACGGCCATGCCGAGGAGAGCTTCCAGAAGCCCAGCTACCAAGTCCAGACTGCTTGTCTCATGTGTGCACAGCTAGACCTGTTATATGTGTGGCCACCTTGAGCTTTGAGCTCTGCCCACCTGGAGCTGTTATGTGTGCCCAGCTAGAGCTGTTATATGTGTGCCCAGCTAAAGCTGTCATGTTGCTATGTGCCTGCATGGCTTGCTTCTGTCCTGCATGACATGCAGCCGTGAGCCCTTGAGGCTGCTCGTGCAATATATAGAATCAAGCTGCATGTTTGCAAAGCACAACACTCACTGGGAAGCTGCATGCATGCAAAGCACAACACTCACTCGGAAGCTGCATGCATGCAAAGCACAACACTCACTCGGAAGCTGCATGCATGCAAAGCACAACACTCACTCACAAGCAAGAAAGGCTGCCATGGTTTAGGTTTAGGGTTTAGGGTTTATAGGGTTTAGGGTTTAGGGTTTGGGGTTCAGGGTTGAGGGTTTAGAACACCATCTCCTTTTTTCCTCCAGCGAGCCTCAGTACGGCCGTGGTGCTGGGGGCCGGTTGATACGAAGCGCCTCAAAGCTGAGGTCCGCTGCCTTGGGCACCGCCGGCGGCCTGTTGACCCCATGAGCATTCCATGTCCGGCTGTCTTCGCCATGCAAGCTTCCACTCTCCACCCGAGGCGTCCAGTAGCTTGTGCTCACCTCAGCTTGTACCGGAGCCCCATGCATGGTCGCCCCTGCTGGAGGAGTTATCGGAGTCCCCATCGTCGCCCCTGCTGGAGGAAAAATCGGAGTCCCCATCATCGTCGCCCCTGGTGGAGGAAAAAAAGGAGTCCCCGTCGTCGCCCCTGCTGGAGGAAAAACCGGAGTCGTCCCCGTCGTCGCCCCTGGTGGAGGAGTTATCGGAGTCCCCATCGCCGGAGCCCCCATGGTCGCCCCTGCTGGAGTCTGAGCTGCCAAGAAGGGAGCCCGAGGAGCAGCAGGAGGAAAAGCAGTGGAGGAAGCGGGCTCCTGAAGCGGATGAAAGCGAAAACGTTTCTCTGCATAACAAGAACATGCAACCGGCTGGGCAACATGCAAACATGCAACTTCTTGTCCTGGCGAAGCTTCTGCTCGCGATCCTCTGCCTGCATGAAATGCAACCATGCATGCATGCATGCAACAATGCAAAGATACACATCATGCAACTTCATGCAACTCAGCTGCATCCAAGAAGAGCTGCTCCACAAGTAGTTCCAGCTGGGTCTTCTCGTCTTTGAGCAGCTGCACACGGGCTTCCAACCGCTGGATCTGACCCAGATAGCTTGCTTCATTTGCCCAAGCCACAGTGGAAAACCCTTGGAAGATTTCCACGATCGCCTGGCAAAGGCCTTGGCTCCAAACGGGAAGAATTGCCTCCGCCTCCCATTTGTCCCACGGCACGTAGACCCTGCCCTGTGGCAAAAAGTCGCCCTCGATGGATGCCAGCACCTCCACTCCGCTCCAGTCGTCCTCCTCCACGACGGAGCTCGCCACGACCCACCACGGCGAGCCCCGAAGCCTGAAAAGCCATGCCGGAGTGGGATCCGGGTCATCCTCGTGCCACGACTTGCACAGCACAGGGCAATTGTTCAGGCTTCGCCCGCTGTGCCGCCACGGACCGTGAATGATCCTGCATTCCGTCCTTGGATGCACAAAGCACACTTGCGAACCGAGACATGTGAAGAAGCGACACACATGCACACAGCAAGCAATGTCATGCATGTACACTGCAGGGCATCTATGCATGCTTCTTGCAGCACGATGCAAGTGTGCATGCATGATGCAAGCTCTTGCTGCTGGCATGCATGGTCCAAACAACATGCAAGACCATGCCATCCAACATGCAATCACAACCGCAAACAGCAAGCATGCTGGAAGCAAGCATGCATAAACCCTGCAAACTTGCAAGCATTCCATGCATGCTTCAAGCAACCTGCATGCCATCAACATGTCGATCAGGATACAACCTGCGAAAAGCACCGATTTCTTTGTCCCTGGCATCATATCATCATGTCCTGTCACCAGCACGGTGCCTAGCCTTTCACTTCTTCTTGAACTTACCAGTCTTCGAGTAGGCTCTCGTGGCACCCGAGCACTCCTCACAAGCACCCTGCAAGTAGCCCAGCACTGCTTCCAGAGACGAGTTCTCGATCAACACTGCCGGGCACGAGGTTTGATGGTTCTCAAGGCAAAACTCTGCAATCGTATCGTCCGGCAAGGTGATGCTCTTCACATTCGTGGTCAACAAAATGCTTCGTTTCCTTTTCATGCCCTTCTTGTCGCCCGGCTTCTTTTCGAACAGCTCTTCCTGTTCTTCGTTTTCCTTTGTCAGGAACCCTGCAAGCACTGCCTCTAGCAACTCTTTCATTGCAGCTGTGTTCGCGAGGGTGATGTTCTTGGTTCGCTTGTAAGCTTCAGGGCATACGAGTTTGCACAGCCAATAATGACTGCCCACCAATTTCAAGTATTTCTTCCCCTCGTGCTCCAGCACCAAGTCTGAAGGGATGACCAAGCCGAGACCGTGGTCTCTTGTCTTGATCTGCAGCACATGTGCCACTTCCACGTCCATGCTGGCTAAAGGCTACAAGCAACAAGGATGATACAAGAGAACACCTTGAACATGCAATAGATGCATGACAAGCTTTGTGAGACTCAATGCAAGGCTCGTACTCACTCGAAAGCTTTCAACTGCCCGCATGCAATCTCTGTTTTTCGGCACGTGTGTGCAACCGCCTCCTTCTGTTGTTCTGCAACATTCCAATAAGGATATGCAACATTCCACCAAAGGTGGAGCAAAAGAATGACCCCTCATGACATGATCCTTTCAGGATTTAGACAGTGCCCGGCCCCTTCGTTCTAAGTCGCTTGACCGGAGACGGGGGAGCCGGGGCCGAGGATTGAGCCTCCTTGGCGATGAGGCTGTCACTGGCACAGTAGAGAAGTTCTCCTGGTGCCAAGTCGCGACGGTTCAAGTAGCTGGGCACCTTCAGGGAGCCAAGCTCCTTATGCACGAAGGTCATATTGACCAGCTCCTTCTCGTTGGTTGCACGAACATACCAAAACGGCACAAGCAAGGACTTGTCGTCCAATTTCTCGAAATCGGACACAACCTTGGGCCCCTGGAGCAAGTACGTCCCGACCCAAACACCATCCTTCACCTTGCTAGGCTCCTTGACAATTGTAAGCTGGCCAAAAGCAACCAGGGACAGGGCACCTTTCCTGATGGGGGCCGTGACCAACAAGCCCGAAGGCGGGGTCACGAAGCTGATATCCTTCTTGTCATCGTGCTTGGCAATGAACTCTCGATACAACTCTAGCTGAGCCTGCCCCAACTCAAATGCCTCGGCCTGCATACGGCTAGCCGACACGGTGTACCCCGAAGCTTTCACGGCATCGAGAACAACAGGCTGAACTCGCTTCGTCTTCTTCCAATTCCCCAACTCAGCCGAAGCTGGCACCTGAACCCTCATGGGTTCCCCGAGCAAAGACTGGTGCTGGAACACGACTTTGTCATCCTCAACACCTACCATGACAAAGATTTTGGTGCCGTGATCCTTGTGTACAAAGCTGCCACCGACATGCAAGTGCTTGTGCTGCTTCAGAACCACATCCGTGAAGCTAGCCGTCAACATGTTCTCAACAACCGGGGCGGAGTCTGTGGATGAACTGGCCGGTCCAGAGGACATGCCCAAGAGTTCCATACCGAAAGCTTTGGAAATCTCAGCGAGACTCCCCATTTCTTGTCCCTCCCGTCCCTCTTTCTCCTTCTGACACAGAAAGAGTGCCACCCGAACTGAGCATCGACCGTAGGCCTGCATCCTTTGCTTGGCATCAACATTCGCGGCTTGCACCGTGTCCCAGCAGCCCTTCAGGAGGTTTTCCGCTTCTACAAGAGGTCCCTTGTTTTTGAAGTTCTTCAGTTTCTCGATATCCGACTTGAACAACAACTGGGCCACTTTATCAACAGCTTTTGGGCTGGTGATTTGTGCTGCAAGAAGTGCGACCCGTAGACACGGCAGCAAATTCCCCTCCACTTTGAAGTCGCAATAGGTAACGGCTTTCATAAACACCGACCCCAGCACCCGGCTGGCACCGTAGACCTTTCCGAAAGCCCCCAAAAACTCCAACAGAGGGAAACCTTCGCCTCCTCCATAACGAGCCGCGAAATGGGCCAGGACGTCTATATAGTCCTTACATGTAGGTTCGGCCTCGAGGCATTTGTCCTTTGCCTGCTGCACACTCATGCCATGCAAGGACACATACCTTCCGATCGTCATCAAGACTTCGATTTCGCTCTGGCTGACTTGGACCGAGTTGGTCGAATTTAACCCCGATGCTAGAAGAAGGGGCATCGATGGGAATTCTTCCTCAACGAGGTCTTCGATGATTAACCACCGCCATCCCGTGTGCAAGCACGTTTTCAATGGTCCATCCTTCTTGCTCAGGTGGGTTTCAGGGAGGATGCCGGACAGCATTGCTCTCATGTAGGCGGTTGAGTGGCTGGAGCCTACCGACAGGTACCTCTCTGCACCGCTGGGGGGAGCAAGTAAGTCGGGGTGATGGCTTGCCAAGAGCTTGTTCGCATTCACCTGAGACTTTCGCTTCTCTTCTTGCTTGGACAGACAAAAGGCGACACTGGATGCCTCCAGCAGATCCTGACGGACTCCTTGCTTCATGAGGACCTCACCCTTCTGAACCACATCATGGCCATTCAACATGCTGCCACCTCTGTTGGAAGGATGACACAAAACCAAACTGGGGGACACGACTTCATGGCGAGCAAGACCACTGTCCAAGAAAATCTTGGTCAACTTCGTGATCTTGACGTTCACCCCGTCATCCGACTCCATGACACGACCGACCTCAACCTTGACCTCGTTGGTCAAAGCCATGATCGCGATGACGAGGATCGGGAGGAAATAATAGGGAGCACGATGCACAAGCGGCTTGGACAAAAAGACACATAGAACACACAGTCATACAACTCCAAACATGCCAGGCCACACAACCATGCAACTCCAAGCATCCATGCAATCATGCAAGTCCAAACATGCCATGCCATGCAACCATGCAACTGCAAGCATCCATGCAATCATGCAAATCTAAAAATGCAACAAACATGCCATGCCATGCAACCATGCAACTCCAAGCATCCATGCAATCCTACAAGTCCACACATGCCATGCCATGCAACCATGCAACTCCGAGCATCCATGCAACCATGCAAGTCCAAGCATCCATGCAATGATGCAAATCCAAACATGCAAGCCATGCAATCATGCAACTCCAAGCATCCGTGCAAGCATGCAAGTCCAAACATGCAGGCCATGCATTGATGCAAGCATCCATGCAATCATGCAAATCCAAGCATGCAAGCCATGCAATCATGCAAGTCCAAGCATCCATGCCATCATGCAAATCCAAACATGCAAGCCACCCAGCCATGCAACATCCAAACATGCAAGGAAAAGCTATTATACATACAGAACTTTGCAGGCAAAAACTGTTTAACTGTTTCTTGTTGTCATTCCTGTCCGGCCGACAACAAAATATATATGGACTTATAAAGCTTCTCGAGTTCCCAGCACAGAATGGAATTGTATCCTTGCTAAACCAGGTTAGCCCATTTAGCTTACATGTCTTATCTACATTAACCTCTTTAATTTAACCCTTTATCTTGATTAAAGCTAACCCCATCAAACAGCTTAAGTTGAGTAAGAACATTAACTTCATTAGTATAAGCCACCTATCCCCTGTATACTTTTAGCTTTCCTATAAATACTTAGATACATGTTAGATATGACTTCGAAACAAATTATAAATACTTGCTTTTTCGTTGCATCACTTAGCAACCACCCGGCCCATCCAAGCAAGGCAGCACCCTTGCAGCATGCTC